GTGCGTTTCTTTTCTTCAGCATCCAAAGCAAAGCCATTGCCACAGATACACCTGAAGCTGCCAATGGTGTTTCGGCAGGTCCCATGGGTGCACAGGCCAGAGAAGACCTTACATTCATTCACATCTGCGGGCAGAGGCAGAACAGCAGTGTTTCAGGAAGGGGATGTCTGCAGCAAACCCAGAGTCCCAGGGCAGGCAGTGGCTTTCTTGGTCTGGAGCTGAGGTGGGCTGAGCACAGCCCATGATCAGCTGCTCCCCTCTTTCTTCTCACCTTTGTAGAAGGGCCTTCCTGAAAGCACGTCTCCTCGGTTGGCAAAGCCGGGTCCCCGCGGGCAGATGGCCTTGTACTCGCTGGAGCCGATCTTGGGGCATTCTTCACAGTCAATGCCCCAGGCTGAGCCCACGGAGCAGCAGCACATATCAATCCGGTATTTGCCCGGCAGAGGCTCTGTACACTCGTCTTCATCCCATTTCATGTAGCACTGTTCCACACGCACGTCTGGTGAGAAAGCAGAGCTGAGCCCTCGCCTGCAGCACCCAACCTCTGCTAAAACCAGAGGTATCATTTCCTGTGACACAGTTAGCAAGATTTCTGGAACAGCTTTGGCTGGGGCATCCTCCAAAGAGTGCTCAGGTATGGACCATCTGGCTGAGGCCACCTTGTCTGGGACCTTGTGAGAGACTGAATGGCATGGACACGGGGCAGCCTGTGACTGTTGGCAACAGGACCAGAGAATGGACCCTCCATGGTGCAGTTAGTAGTGCAGATGGCCCCTGTGAAGGGCAGAGGTTTGCCACTGTGTGTCCAGAAAGAAGCCAGGAATTGTCACCAACCAGTTAGGTTATCTATTTGGCTACCCCTGCAGTCCACGCAAGGAGAACGACTGCATTACTGGCTGGATCTGGGGACATGAAGTTACGGCAACCTTGCCTTGGATAAGCTGCTGGGTTTGGCAGCCCTTCCCAGGGTATGATGTGCCACCACTCAGTTCCCAAGAGTGCTGCAAGTGGTGGGTAGGGGATGGTTGGACCCCTGTAGAGAAGGCTGAACAGAGGCCGGGGTCTGGATGAGGCGTCCTTACCCACACAGGTCCTAGCAGTGCCGTCAAGGGTCAGTCCTTCTGGACACTCGCACCGAAAGGAGCCAGCCGTGTTCACACAGCGCCCGTTTGGGCACACGCCAGGGAAGACCTCGCACTCATTCACATCTGTCGGCACAAAACCGAGAGATTGGCATGAGAGCAGCACGTGGCCAAGCCCAGTATGGCCTTGAGGAGCTGCTTGGCAGGAAAAGACCTGGTAGACATCAAGTTAAACATGAGGCCACAATGTGCCCTTGCTGCGAAGAAGACGAAAGGTATCCAGGGTTGCATTAGGAGGAGCGTTGCCAGCAGGTTGAGGGAGGTGATCCTTCTCGTCTACTCAGCACTGGTGAGGCCACAACTGGAGTGCTGGGCCCACTGCTGGGCTCCTCAGTATGAGAGAGAGATGGACACACTGGAGAGAATCCAACAAAGGGCCAGAAAGTGTAGATTCTCCCACCAGCCTCAAAGATACAGGATAGCAAAAAATAAACAACAACCGTGTTCCCACCAAAGAACGTCTTTGGCGTCCTGCAGCACTTTACCTTCACACGTGACCCCCTTCATCCTGGCATATCCCCGGGGACAGGCAGTATCTGCAAGAAAACAGAGGAAGGTCAGCAAAGCAACAGGCTGCCTCCTGCTTTGCCGACCGCCGTGCCAGGCAGAGCCTCACCGATCTCACAGCGCTCGCAGGGGCTGCCCCACGCGGCTCCCAGCGTAGCGCAGCACTCCGACTTCAGCGTGGCCCCGTTGATGTTCACCTCGCAACGCCCGTCCTGGATGTTGAGCCAGCAGGTCCCTTTCATGCTGTCTGTAGGGGCAAAGACAAGGCGTGAGCAAAGAGATGCTCCTCGGCAGAGGTTCCCAGCTTCATGGTAGCCAGGCTGCCACGAAAAGCAGCGAGGAGAAACCATCCCCTGCTCAGAGCATTGCCTGAGGTTGCAGATTTTCAAGCTCCCTGGATGCGTAAGAGAGCTGGTAATTATTACCGAAACCTAAGGAAGCACTAGGTGAGATCCCCACCCCTAAGGCAGGAACGCAGGACTTGCTTCAGAGGAACAGCAGGGGGTGACGAAGGGTGTTGCTGGCATCAGCGCCCCTGTAGAAGGGCACATCCTTACCCACACAGATGGTGCCACTGGGGTCCAGCTTGCTGCCTGGCGAGCACTCGCAAGCGAAGGAGCCAGCATTGTTCCTGCAGACACCGTTCACGCAAGGGTTAGAGGTGCACTCATTGATATCTGCAGGGAGAAAGGGACTGTCACTGTAGGCAGTGCCAGGAGACCCAGTTTTCTGCACCAGAGACTGGGGAGACAAGAAGCAAAGAGCATGAAAAAAATGAGTCGACTCTTTAGAGGGTCTCCAGTCCAGGCTGTAGGAGTCCTGCGTGTACAACACAAGCGCACAGCACCTCAAAGGGGATGGACACGGAGATAGACACCGCAAAATTAGTGAGTTTCTTCAGGATTGAGGGAATGGACGGATTGAGGGAATGGACGGATTGAGGGTGGTTGGTGCAGCTCCTGGGAATGAGGAACTCGCTCGCTCAGGGTTGATCCTGGCCAATATGGGAGCTCAGGGTTGGTCCTGGCCAATATGGGAGCAGCCACGGTGCTGAACCCAACTTTCACGTACCTGTCTGAGCCAGATGTGAGGATACACAGCATTTGTTATTTTTCACCTTCTTTACAGAAAATCAGTGTGGTTTTTTTTTTCTCCAAACAGACATTTAGGTACAAACTGCCAGTTCTCAAATGTTTGAGGGCACTGTGGTCAAGGAAACAATTTCCCCCACTCCAAACCGTAAGCTTTCAATCAAATCTCCCAAACTTGCAATTTTGGTCAGGTTTCAGCTAAAATTTTGGGAGCTTAGAGGAAATTGTTCTGGGTTTCAGTCAGTGAAAAGCCCAGATGTTCTGCGTTTGGATGGCCACTATTTTAGATGAAGTGTGAAATTTCTCTCTATGAAAAAAAACCCCCCAAAACCCAAACAAAACAACAAACCCACAAACCCAAGGCCTGGATCTGCTCCAGTTCAAACCACTGCGGTCAAAAGGGAACCAAAGACATGTTAGACCTTGAGCTCCCTTTCAAGCAGGACATCAGGCTGTAGCTCTTTACATCTCGCAAAGACGTCCAGAGTCACGTTACCTTCACAGGTATCTGTCTCAGTCCTGAAGACAAAGCCCTTGGGGCAGGTGCAGGTGTAGCTGCCAGGTGTGTTGCGGCACAGTCCGTTGTCACACAGCAAACGGTTGACAGTGCACTCGTCGACGTCTGTGGGCAGAGAGATGGGGTTTCTGAGCTGCACCACCAGCCTCCAGCGCTTCGACTCTGCCAGCCCTACAGAGCTCTGGCAGCCCGAGAGGCACAGAAATGTGCAAAGTCGTGTTAAATCGCGTAGTTTCTCGCGCAGCACCTCGTGCTCTTCCACGTGGACAAGGCAGCGCTGAATGGGGACAGTGCTCGAGGGCGTCACCCTCTCCCCACCAGCACCGAGCTCCCGGTTCCTGATGCCAACCCGAGCCCGGTCTGCCCTGAACTCACCCACGCAGTTCTTGCCCGTGGGATCCGACTCGTAGCCCAGGTTGCAGATGCAGCGGTAGCTCCCGCGCAGGTTCTCGCACATGCCGTTGGGGCAGATGTCCGGGTTGAGGGCACACTCGTTGATGTCTGCACAGAGAAAGAAGTCGAATTAGATGGAGCACGGAAAAGGTGGGAGGGAAAAGCTGTCTGTTAAGGTGCTGTGAGAAGGATGCTGGGGCCAGTTGGGGTAAAGAGCAGAACGTGATGGACAACCTGCCTGAGCTCATGGAGCCTGACCCCAGGGGATCACGGCTGGGGGCAGAAAAGGGTGAGGAGTACCCAGACATGCTGGAGAGCACTCTGTGGGCAGCTGGTTGGCAGAGGGTCATGTCCAGGGTTAGATGGTCAGAGTGAAGCCCTTCTGATGTCAAAGTCCCTCTATTTCCTCGCCCAAGCCATGGTCCCCAAGCTGAGAGCTTGCACAAGCTCCCTGAGCACACTGCTGCCAGGCTGGAAGCAGTCCTGATCAGGCCAAAGTAAATTTTATTTCCCTACTGCTGACACAAAGAACTGTCTGAAAGCAGCTTGGACAGCCTGGGAAGACAGAAGTGAGGACCTGTGGCCTCTGCCCTGGAGAACGTGGCGGGGGGGCCGGCCAGGGACAGAGGGCAGTGTCATGTTTGGGTAAGGGCAGGGTCTGCAACAGGGGCCAAAGCCGGCAGGATGTCAAAACCTCAGCCTCAAAGACTTGCAAAGAGCCCATCTGTCTCAAACTGGGAGATTTTTGGCTGGTTCTGCAGCAATGTGCAGTGGGTACCACAGCTCCTGCTGCCCATGAGCATGGTGGTTGGGCTCAGGTCTGCAGAACACCTGGCAGAGAGAGCAGCGGGCATCTGTGCCATCACCCACCTCTGTCAACAGCACCAAGCACACGTGGACACTAGCCTAGAAGGGCAGCAGCATCTCTTCCTCTTCATCAGCATCATCTCCCTGCTCTTTCGGAGCAAAGCTCTGGTGCCCGGGCAAGGAGATTTGACCCTGGTGAGAACCAGCCTCCGCACAGAACAGGGCAGCTCTGTGTTTGCGCAGCAGTGTCCTCGCAGTGCCGTCAGCGCCAGATGGCAAGGGGCCCAGGCCAGGGCTTCCCAGACACCGCTGGCCTTCGTCTCTACGCAGCTGGAGTTCAGCTACAACCCCGGGGAAACCAACCCTGGAGAGTGCTGAGCGCACGTAGTTCTGGCTTCGGGCAGCAATGGGCTGCCCAGAGCGTGTCTGACCTTAGACTCTTGCTAGAAAACGCCCTATCGCTGGCCTGACACTGACTTTGGCCAAGACATGGTGCCCTGGAAGGAAGCTCATGAAGCCACCAGGGTTTCGCCTCTGGCTCGTTCCCATTTGGGAAGTTTTGAAAGGCCGTAGCTATCTGGCTGCTTTGTGCTCTCCCTGCTGAGCCCAGCGGTGCCAGCGCAGCCTGACCCCTTCCACTTCCATCTAATTCAAAGCAGCCCCTTGGCAACGTGGCCCAGCATGTGTCAATCACCTCCCTCTCCCTTGGAGACCAGGAGCCTTCTTCTCCCGTGACCAAGGGAGCCGGAGGGCAGAGGAGGGAAAGGAGCAAGAGGATGCCATCGGTCACGCTCTTCGTTCCCATCAAAGCAAGGATCAAAGCCAAACTCGGCGTGTCCATCCCCAGAAATGCAGTTCCCATGGGGTGCTGGGGAATCAACCCCTCGATTAGACACAGCCCTCAGGGATGTTTGCTCAACCTTAGCTCGTGGTGCTTCAGGGAGGAGAGGACAGGCAGCAGCCCTCTCCAAGCTCTCGTCCCACCCACAGACTCACTGGTGCGGGGATCGGTTCTTGCAGGCGTTTACACCCACCCAGGCTGCACGAGCTGCCCCGCGCTTACTCACACCCAGCTTGCACGTACACGGGCGTGACGTGCCGATTCTCTAGTGTAGAGCCGAGCCTCTCGTGGCACACGCTCCCCCAGTCACACGCGTGCAGGCCCACTCCATCAAAAGCAGCCGAAAGAAAGCGCCGAGGGTGACATTCGAGGTGCCTGTCTAGAACCCAGGAGATCGGATGCACCTACCTCTGCCATCAGCTGTTATTCCAATGCCACTGCTGCAGAGTGCCTGGAATTCCGCTGTGGAGAAAGCAAAACGGAGCCATTAGCTTTTCTGCACAGCTCACGCACAGTGGCAATATTTCTGGATAATGTTAGATTTATTGTTTATTTGCTAGAATGCCAGCCGTGGGCTTCTAAGCAGCGTCTGTTTAAACTTTATGCTGCATATATTTCAGAGTCGATACTCGCAGCTAGCCGTCGGATGCGCTGAGAAACCCTGCAATGAGACTGGCATCAGATCTGCAGATCCAGCCTAGATTTGTGGACTTCTTGGCACCCCTTTCCCCTACGGCTTTGCCATGTCTCTGCCAAGGCTGTCTCAGAGACCTCTCAGGGATGCAGGACGTCTGTGAGCACCTTCCCCACTTTTTGCAAACTCGCAAGAGTAGCTCACCGGAATTTTTGGCCGGACAGGGTTGGCAGGGCTCTCCGAAGCCGTGGTCTGGGTTAGCGCAGCAGCACTCGGACTTGGTGACGGCTCCCGGGAAGGGACGAGCACACGTGCCCTTTTTAATGCCTCCGTAACAGGTGCTGCGCATGTGGGTGTCCACGCAGACTCGTCCGTCCACCCCGATAGCCAGGCCCCCGAGGCACTCGCAGCGGAACGAGCCCTCCGTGTTGATGCACCAGCCGTTCATGCAGATTCCCGGTGTCTCGCACTCGTCGATGTCTGAAAAAGGAAGCACAAAGCGGCCGTTATCTACCCTCAGGCAGCAGGAGATACAGACCAAGGCTTTGGGCTCTTTTGCAGAGAGACTTGTGGATTAGGAGGTGCAGCTTAGAGCGTCACATGCCCTGCATGCTCTGCTGGCTGTCCCTGAGGGTTCACGGGAAGGCACAGGGATTTGAGCTTCTTCAGCCTCCTGAGACTCAGCCCCTTCTCTGTTAATGGAGCAGTGACCCAGAGAATTCACCCCGCGTCACAGCAGCATGTGAAAGAAACTTTGTGTTCTCTTCCTCCTTTCTCCACTCTGCTTTCACGTCCTAACCTTCTGAGCTTTGGAAACCACACAAACCATACTGGAACGTGCTGTAGAGGCTGGGGAAGCTGCGGAGATGACTGCTGCCAGCTCACATTGGCCATACAGAGTTTCGCAGCCCCACTTAACCTCCTTCAGAAAGAGGATTTAAGCTCCAATTCGTGCTGAAGCAGTGGAGGTGCAAGAACATTCTCCCTTGTGCCCATTCTGCTTGTGAGGGGGTCATTTCTGTTTTTTTCTCAGCTCTCCTTGGCCTCTGACACATGGCAAGTCCCCAGGGATGTGGATGGCAGGCTGGGAAGAGGGCAGAGACCAAGCCTGGGGACCTACGCACCGACACAGTACCGCCCGTTGGGAGCCAGCACAAAACCAGGCTTGCAGATACATTTGAAGCTGCCGTCCTCGTTGATACACATCCCGTTGAGGCACATGTTGGTCGTGGCACATTCATCATGATCTGGGGAGGACAAACAGAAAACATGAGCTGCAGTGAGACCCTCCCACACTGAAAATCTCTCTGTCCCCCATCCCACGGTCTAATTTGCTTCTTATGGCAGCGGGTGCTAATCCTCAAGTCAGAGTTCCTACTGCTTCTCCTGCTGAGAGGTGTCCTCTCGTGTCCCGGCTGCTTTTGGTACCCTGGTCAGCTGGTGCAGCTCACAGCAGGAGCCAGGCACTGGCTGCTGGAGAAAGTCCTGCTTCCAGACCCAGCCCTGCTCATGCTCCTGAACCCCAAACCCCATAGAAGCACCCTAGGAGCACAAGCATCCTTGCAAAACACTAGCATCCTTGTAAAAACACTCTCCTATGTCAGTCCTATCATTTTAAGATACGTTCTGCCCTAGGGATGAAGGGTGTACAGCACAGCTTAATGTCACCACGAATCCCTAGGGAGGACAGAGTCTCAGTTCAGTGCCAACCCTTCCAAGGCACATCAGGCAAAGCTTACCAACACAGTTCTTGCCATCAGGGGTGATCTCAAAGCCAGCGTTGCAGATACACTGGAAGCTGCCGTCGGTGTTAACACAGCGGCCGTTCCTGCACATCACGCCGTTCATGATGCACTCATCGATATCTGGCAGGAGAGTAAACATAAGACAGGTGGAGTGAGAAGCAGTTCCGGCTTAATACGCTCCACGAGAAAACCAGGCAAGTGCTCTTAGATGCTCAGAGTTTGCCTTGCTCCAGGATTACGCTC